CTTAACTTTTATAAAGAATATTTCTTTGGATTTGAGACTTTAGTTTTTGCAACTTTACAGATCTTCTTTATGCACCAAGAGCTTGTAACACTCCAAAGAGAAAGGAAAAATTTTTATCGCATCATATGACCCCTTTAACTTAATTTGTATTTAAGTAGTTAGTTATTTAAATAATTTGCTCTTCTAGGCTGTTGGTGACAACTTAGCAAATTTATTAATGGAAAAAATTAAAAAAAAGTACATCGCATACGTATTTATACTCTTAACTCAGTACTTAGTTGAAGCACTTTTGTATGTACTGTGTGTATATATATATATATATACAATGTGCTGTGTGTACATTAATGAGGGAAAACATTTTACTTAAATGATTTTAGCAAATGGCTGCAATATAACAAAGAGTGAAAAATTTAAGGGGGTCTGAATACTTTCCGTACCCACTGTATATATATATATATATATATCATCAATATCATTTTTTGGTGAACTAACTATTCCTTTTAAGCGTTAAAAATGCATGTTATATAAAATTGCGTTATGTCAGAACCTTTATTTAGTTATGAAACAGCCATTAAAATTTAGTTGCCTGCACATTAATGTTTTTTAATGCATTTTTGAAATATTAAGAACAAATCCATCAAATTGACGATGTAGCTTTTATTTTTCAAGTCAAGTCACCTTTATTTCTATAGCGCTTTATAAAGTCAGTTCATTGTTGATTCGGTGATGTCATCGTCCAGCTCAGTTCAGTTCTCTTCCAATAGTGTCTGTGCAGTCAAGTCAACAATGTTGCCAGAAACTGTGTCCCCAAAGGTGACAGTGGCAAGGAACCAAAACTCCATCGGTGGCAGAAATGGAGAAAAAAAACCTTGGGAAGTTGGGAGAAACCAGGCTCAGTCGGGGGGCCACTTCTCTGGCTACACGAAACCAGCATGGTGGGGTTTAATTCCAGGCTGCAACGCATGTCAGATTGAGGTCTCGTCTAGTACTCGTGGTCTTGTGCCGTTGGCCGACAAGGTCTTTACAGGGGATCTGTCTCTAGGGTTCGTCTAGTTGACATGGTCTCCACTGACAAACAGGGCTGTAGAGGTCGTCTAATCATATTTGTGCCTTTCGTGACACTGAGACTTTTTTTTTGGAAGACTTTATATTTTAGGAATTTATATGATTTACATGAAACATTGAAGACTAATGCTTTCTGTCTTGTGTATAGGTGATTCCTTGTGCCCAGAGAGATGCTCTTTACTGCCTCCACGAGAATGGTTGCGTCACACTGCGTGTGTGCCGTTCCACAACACCTTCTCCTAATGAAACAGGCAAGACAGGTTTTATTCCTTTACATCTATCCTCCACAATAAAGCTGTACATATCACAATATAGTTTTTACTGAAAATGTAATGACAGGAATTATCTTTTTTGGATAATCATGTTAATTAAATATTTTATAAATGACATGTACTTCATCTGTGACTGCACATCTTGAATTGTATATTGCAACCAGGGCAGGACTTAGGGGGACGGGGGCCTATAAACTACAAATACCCTCAGCTAGTACATCATTATGAAGTAATATGCTTTGAGGTTCATATATAGTACAATTAATATGCAACATGTCTAGACTAGTCAAAGTTTAGATGTAATATTAAATAGTCATTATAATACAATAAACAGGATGTCGTCTCTCATTTGAGAGATCAAAACCCTGAAATTACACTGAGGAAAAAAGACAGAGATGTATTAGTATTACTAAAATGTATTGTCATAGCCTATATGTGTCCTCTTATGTCAGATTCTTAAATTTAATCAATAAATTCAATCCGAATAAAAATACATGTTGGCTAGTTACAATCAAATGAAATCACTATCAACAAAATCCATAGATAGATAGATAGATAGATAGATAGATTCTGCATAAATTGTTAAGTTTAAATATAACATTTTAATGTAGAAATATTAAATGTTTGTAAAATGAAATAATAAGCTTTATATATATATATATATATATATATATATATATATATATATGAAACTACAACAGCCAGTAGGTGGCAGCGAGTAACTGTCTTAATGAGTGAGTTGAATACTTAAACTGATTCGTTTAAATTGCTAATTGATTTAACTTCGCAAACGACTGTACTTATAGTCTGATTGAATCATTTACTGGTCCGTGTAACACTGAGGAACAAAACACCGTGTTGCTTGGAAAGACAGAGTGGTTCTGCTGTTTGTTCTATTTTCTTTTTGACGGAGCAAAATGTTATATTGTGTCTGAAAGTTACTCAATAACTTGTTGTTTATTGTATATTTACGATCATGCAGATATTCAGAAAAACATGACTCTAGTTTGTATGATTGATTAACTCGCATATCATAGGCATATATTATAAAACAGAAACTCATTAAATGGCCATTTTTATATACATATTTTTTTTAATCATTTTGATGACATTTCTGCCCCACTATGTGAGATGGCAGTGAGATGGGAGAAAGTGCTCAAAACTCTTCAGATCGCATAATTTAGTGGAACATTAATATAATATAGAATCATCCTCTGTAAAGAAATTAGGCGTGAACATATGGGAATTTATCTTTATCGTTCTAAATGTGAGCTCTTTCGGCCTAAAGGCTTAATGGAGCTGTTTAAAGTAGCCATGTAATCAAATTAATCGGCGCAGTCGCGATTCAATATGTGCATCCTTCTTCTATGTGAAATAATCATAAATACCAGTTTACTCTGTTGGATTATGGCCTCGAATTTCGTAGTAGGAAGCTGTTAGCCCGGGCTGGCCCATTTAGCCCTTGCGTGCGCAGTGGAAATGTGGCTAATAAGTTCTGAATGGCATAACCGAACAAATCAAACAAATTTAAACTAACAAAGGCGGGGCCCATGGGCCGCAGCCCAGTCAAACCCAATGGTAAGTCCGGACATGGATGCAACTAAGCTTTGCTACCTGTTTTTACTTGACTTGTGATGAGAAGTGTGGTAATTTATCTCAAATATGTGATGTGTTCTGTTGTTCCAGTGAATGATCCAGAGCAGAATCTACAAGAGTTGGTATACGATCTCCGCTCCCAGTGTGACGCCATCCGTGTGACTAAGACAGTGCGGCCCTATCGAGTGGTGATCTGTCCTGTCAATGAGAACAGTGCCGCCCTGGTAGTCAGTGATGGAAGGGTAATGCTGTGGGAGCTCAAAGCTCATGCCAGTAAACCTTCATCCAGCCTGAGGTACAGTTATTTAAACATATCCAAGTATGAATATAATGTATCTTATTAAAATGTTCTTTAGTATCACATTGACAGTCAATAAAAAAAAGTAATAAAACCTGATGGTAGAACTGATTTATATTGTAGAATTAGCAGATTTAAAAATAATACTATAATGAAGGCTTTGCTTACTTTGCTTGATATAACTTCTTGGAGCATCAATTTTATGCTGTTTTAATTACCACATTTTATAATTTAATTAATCTGACGTATTTAACATGTTACTTTCTGACTCAACCAATGGTGTTAGTTTTCAGAACTGTTATTTAGAATATATTTTTACTGATGGGATATTTTGCAGTCAGTTCCTAAAAGTACAAGTCAAGAACATGCCCCATATATTAATGCTGTCAATTGGTTAAAAAAAAAAAAACTAACTAATTACACATTTTTTTCTAACATGAAAGTTGTTAAATATACTTTTATATTGGAGTAATTTCGCATTCAATCTTCAAATTCATGTAGAAACAACATAAGGACAGTATATTTTTTAATATTTGTTTAATGGTATCTTTTTTTTATGACTGAAGGCAAGTATCACTGATACCAGTACTACTGATGTCTCTATGAAATTGCCCCCCCCCCCCATATTTAACCATTGACTATAGCCATTCAACATTACAGTATAATTGAGAGCTATCAATTTGAACATTTATTAGACTCTATTAGACAACTTTTAAAACTGCTTCCAGCATAAACAGCTTCCAACTATGACCTTCAAGGCCATTATCAAACAGCATAAACTGGTATTTATGATTATTTCACATAGAAGAAGGACTATTGAATCACGACTGCACCGATTGATCACATGGCTACTTTAAAGGGGTCATATGATGCGATTTCAAGTTTTCCTTTCTCTTTGGAGTGAGAGAGAGAGAGAGAGAGAGAGAGAGAGAGAGAGAGAGAGAGAGCGAGAGAGCGAGCTGGAGTGTCAGCTGTCTTAACCGTGGCTTGTGAACTGCACACATACCAGCTTCATCACTGTGTCTGTCACGCATGAAGCTCGTGATTATGGTAAGTGGCGTTACATTTCCGACGAGTGCTTGCGGTGTTCGGCCAATCACAATGCACTGGGTCAGCTGGCCAATCAGAGCAGACTGCACTTGTCGGAAGGAGGGACTTTGTAGAAAACGAAGCGTTTTAGAGAGGCGGGGCATAGAGGACCTACAATAATGTACAGTATTTGAAAAATAATGTGTTTTTTATATTATTTAATATTCTGTTACACCAAATAATGATCTTTAAAAAAGCATCATTTGATCCCTTTAAACAGCTCCATTAAGCCTTTAGCACGAAAGAGCTCACATTTAGAAAGATAATGATAAATTCTCATATGTTCACACCTCATTTCTTTACAAAGGATGATTCTATTAATGTTCCACTAAATTATGCGATCTGAAGAGTTTTTAGCACTCTCTCCCATCTCACTGCCATCTCACATAGTGGGGCAGAAATGTCATCAAAATTATAAAAAAAAATAATTATAATTCGCCATTTAAAGAGTTTCTGTTTTATAACTTATGCCTATGATATGGGAGTTAGCCAATTATACGAACAATAGGCCTGTTTTTCTGAATATCTGCACGATCGCAAATATACAATAAACAACAAGTTATTGAGTAACTTTCAGACACAAAATTCCATTTTGCTCCGTCTAAAAGAAAATAGAACAAACAGAAGAACAGAAGAAAGTTGTCTTTCCAAGCAACACAGTGTTTTGTTCCTCAGTGTTACACGGACCAGTAAATGATTCAATCAGACTATAAGTACAGTTATTTGTGAAGTTAAATCAATTAGCATTTTAAGCGAATCAGTTTATTTAATTATTCAACTCACTGAAAAGCCCCTTTCACAGAGATTCCGGAAAACACACGGATAATGTGTTCCGTGATTTGTTCCAGGATCGTTTGATTTTGGTTCATTCACACTGCCAGTGATTTTCTGGAATCTGTGCGTTCACACACATCCCATAAAGACACGTGACATTACGATGTGAAGTGGAATGTGACGTGTTCCGTTTCACTAAGCTGGCGAATGATCTCAGCTTCAGCGCGGATAGTGAGGAGCTCCCTGATCTCTGCTTCATTACAGTTTGCGCATATTTTTTCGTTGTGAACGTTGATCTGCCTTCAAAACACCTGGTAAACGAGTCACATGATAACATGTGTCATCACTACAACACACCCTTTACGGCATTGGTCCTGGCTTTTGTTCACACAGGGCTCATTCCGGGACTGATCCCGGCACTGTTACCAGGTCCCCATTCCGGGAAGTGTTTGCGTTCACACAGAAGGCACTACAGTAATTTTTCGGAATCAACGCACAGTATGAAAGGGGCTTCTTTAAGACAGTTACTCACTGCCACCTACTGGCGGGTGAAATTTCCAATTTTAAAAAGTATCTTATTTCATTTTGCAATCATTTAATATTTCGACATTAAAATTGTATATTTAAACTTAACATAATTTATGCAGAATCTATCTATGGATTTTGTTGATAGTGATTTCATTTGATTGTTAATAGCCAACATGTCTTTTTATTTGGATTGGATTTATTGATTAAATTTAAGAATTTGACATAAGAGGACACATATAGGCTATGACCAATGTTGCCTCTAATTGTTTTTCTTGCTGAGCAAAACTGTAAGAAGTGTGTGGCTGTGCACGCGTGCAGCTTAGAGGAAACATTGGCTATGACAATACATTTTTATAATACTGATATATCTGTCTTTTTTGCTCAGTGTAATTTCAGGGTTTTCAGGGTTAATTTTTGTGTATTTTGTGTTACTACATAATGATTTTCTAGCTGAGGGCATTTGTAGTGTATAGGTATAGGGCCCAAACATAACCTCAAGCCCAGGGGCCCCAAGCCCCCTAAGTCCTGCCCTGGACATAAGGCCTGAGAACATCTCATCTGACCGCAGTTCTGGCACTGAGGTGAAGTTGGAGTGCGTGACTGAACAGTCTCCCATTTGATGCGGTCGTAAAGACGTTCTGCGTCTAAATAAATGCTATTCTTGTCAAGAAAAAAGAGACAGAAGCAGCAGTTGTGAGTGGGGTGGCCAACCCTAGCTCCGCCCTTGCGTTAAATATTTGTAACACGTTAAAAATAACTGAAAATATTAATCGCCTGCGTTAACGTGCTAATTTTGACAGCACTAATATATATATATATATATATATATATAATTTGTTTGTTTGTTTGTGAGATTTACCTACAGTACTTTTTTTTCTCAGTTCTGGCTGGCCTCCTTTGTATTCTCCTGTGAATTTCTGTGGGACACCTTTACATCAGAATCAAAAATGCATCCCGGATCTTTCTTTGAATACGATGATAGGTAAGATAGTCATCCTCCCACATACACACACGCATTCTTTCTGGCTTCTAGATATACCACATTTCAAGAGTCTCAAGCTTCATTCTCCTGCCTTTGACTTGAGGAGAAATATTCAGATGGATGAACCTGAGGCCACACTCTGCTATCTGTCTTTGTCAGCAAGAGGCTTATTTTTCCTTTTAGAAGCAAACCCTGATAACACTCATAGTCTGTGGTCTGGTTTATCTCATGTTATGTTTTTAATCATATGCATTAAACAGCTTTTAAGAGTGCTTTTTCTTGTGTTCTGTGCATGAGCAATGGTGGGCTTTCAGGGTTTAGAAGAAGAGTTTTAAACCTGTATGACTTTCTTTTTTCCATGGATCACAAAAAGAGTATTTTAAAGAATGCAGTGGAGTAAATGAAGACTGATGCTTTCAAATTAAAAACAGCACTATGTAAGATATGGACTATTGTTTATTATGAATTCATTTGCAATTAATTTATTATAAATTTTGCTTATCTTTACAAGAATTTATGCCAATGTTTCATGTAATGTTCTGCTCAGTATATCTATATATATATATATAGATATACTGAACAAAATTATAAGCACAACACTTGATATGCCACACCTGTGAGGTGGATGGATTATCTCGGCAAAGGAGAAGTGCTCACTAACACAGATTTGTGAACAATATTTGAGAGAAATAGGCCTTTTGTGTACATAGAAAAAGTCTTAGATCTTTGAGTTCAACTCATGAAAAATGGGGGCAAAAACAAAAGTGTTGCATTTATAATTTTGTTCAGTATATATGAAGAGTTCATTTGCAAAAACCGATAACTTTTATTAACCGTTTTTTTTCTTTTTTTTCTTCCAGAAATAGTTTTTTTTTAAATTGAGCATTACAAGTAATATCAATCAAACTGCAGTTGGGTTGTTTTGATTAAGTAATAATAACTTAAACAAATACAGGTAATTTACAAAATTAAAGTTAATTGAAAGTATGTTTTGTTTTACATATTAAAAGTTAGTTTTATAGCAAAAGCAGACAACTCCATTTCATGTTTTAGAGTTTTAAAAAACACTCATTTCATCTTTGTAATCTCCTCAGATGACAATGCAGATGCCTGACAAATTGTTGTTGTTGTTGTGATCATAAACCGTATGGATGTGATTACACGCAAGACACAGAGCTTTTCCCTCACCATTGTAACACGCTGCTTTTGCAAGGTTCCGTAAAAACATTTAAGCTTTCATCAAGTTCGTCGAAATTATCCATCCTCAATCACTTTTGAGAATGCAGCTAAGAGTCGGCTCGCATTCCACAAGGTTGTAAATGTATCGGGTTACCATGAAACCAGGGTCTTGTTCGGCGTCCTGGGGTGTTACAAAGTATTTGTGAAATCTAGCTAACAAAATATATATTGTGTGTTGGAGTGGTCAAGACGCTACAGCGTCCACACGAAACTGCCACAAAACGATGTAGTATACATGCCAGACCAGCATGTGGCGCTGTAATTCTGCCACAGAGATACACTAAAAACGGAGAAGGCTTGGACTATGCGCATAAACCTTGCGCGGTATACAAACGAACATGGAACAATATATTTATTAATCTGTGTTAATGTTAGTTAATAAAAAAGATTTGTTGCTGTTCATGTTTTTGTTGCTGTTACGTGACGTAGCTGTGTCTGACTAGGGGCGAGACGTGGGCTGATGACGTCATCGTTTCAGAAAATATACGGATTCGCTGTCCACACAAAAACACAAGGGCTGCGTTTTCAGATTTATCCACTCTGGGACCCGGTTTCAAAAAATATCGGTTTCACTCTACCAAAATGCCAGATTCGTGTGGGCGGGGCCTTAGTCAGCTTTGACGAAACTCCTCTCAGCTAGAACGTCTTTTCAAAGTGAAAGTAGCCTTGTCACCTGACCTGAATACAGCGCGCTGATTCGCTAAAACGGACTTATCGGCTTCTGTTCAAAAACAACAAGGGTGCTTGTCGGCTTTTGCAGTAAAACGTGAATTCGCGATGCCTTGAAAGTGGACAAAACCGACTTTTTTGACAAAACGTGTTTAGGGTTCAGATCGCGCTATATGTGGAGAATAATGCACGGCAATCAGGTAGTTTTTTTTAAAAAGTGGCCTTTATCGGTTTTTGCTAATGAACTCTTCATATATATATATATGTCTATATATATATATATATATATATATGTCCAGTTGTGGATCATCCAGTTAACAACACACAATATTACGAATCAAGCACATTTGAGCACAAGCAAACAATTCTTTAAAATCTTTTTTTAATATTTATTCTTGACAGAAACAAATGGCGCTTTTCCACTGCATGGTACGGTACGACATGGCTCGCTTTTGGGGGGTTTTTCACTGTACAGTACCTGGTACGTGGTACTTTTTTCAGTACCACCTCTGGCTGAGGTTCCAAGCGAGCCGTAATGTTGCCAAAATGTGACGTGTAAACCCTGCTGATCACTGATTTTCCGGAGAGAATCGGCACTACCTGTGTCATTGAACTTGTGACACGAGACACTAGACTGGCTAGATTAAATCAGCACAGCCAGCGAGGATCGATCACAACTTTTTTTTGAACTAACACAACAGTTTCGAACGAGTGCACCTTTTTTTAAACAACAAAATAATGGCTGTTTCATGGTCTGTTGAGTAAGTACAGACGTTCCTGTCATTGATAGCCGAGGAGCGGATCCAGCGAGAGCTTGATGGGACGACGTGGAATGAAAAAGATTTTCAGGAGGTCACACCCACTCTAAAGCGATATTTAACTTCAGTGGAAATGCAAACTGAGCCAAGCCGTGCCATGCTGAGCCGTACCATGCAGTGGAAAAGCGCCAAATGAAAATAATTCAACCCCCCCAAAAAATACTATTGAACAAACTGAGGGCAATATATACACAGGATAATGGTGTAAATTAACAAGAGACAGGTGAACACAATTAATTAACAATTAAAAACCATAGGAGCAAACTAGACACTGGAATAAAGGAAACGGGAACATACACACTCAAGTAAAAAAGGTAAATTGCAAAAAGTAAATTGCAATGGAAACAGAAACTGAACTAAATATTACAAATGTAAACTATGCAGTTGTGCTTGAGGAATATCTGGCAAAAACAAGCCAGGATATTTGAGGTTCTTGCAGTCCTGTATCAAGACATGATTGTGTGAACCTTGCAAAGTTTGTCAAACCCAGCAATTCTATTTTTACTTCTGGAACACCTGCTGTGCTCCATACCATTGAGATTGCTGAATTATTTAGTTTAGTTTCAGTAAATGGTTTGTGTGGTTATGTGAATATGACTGAATAGTAGATCAGATCCTTTCATTTCAAATGAGCAAAGCAAACCTGGTCTTTCGTGAACTGGATTTAATTGTCACCTTCTCTCATTTGCCCTTAAAGAGCTTGTTGTTTCATTTGATATGGTGTTGGATCAATTATGTAATCTGTCCCTATTCCAGGTCACTGTCTGATTTCTGGAGTGGACTCCCCACGACCTCTGGCAGGTCAACAGGAAGTACATCTGAAGTTCATGTTGACAGGCCTGCTGTCTGGCCTGCCCTTGCCCCCATTCTCCCTACGGATGTGCCCTCCACTTACCACCAAGAACATCAACCACTACCAGCCCTTACTGGCTGTGGGTGAGTACTTCACATGCAAAGACCAGACCATACATTTTTTGAGTTTTATTACAGTCAGTCTCAATACAAATGAATGGATAGTGCCCAAACAGTTCAAGCTTGCTGCAAAATTGTTGTTGACTTATGAAAAAAGTCTCTTCAAAAACATTTTTTTTCATAGTATAGTTAAATTATATGTTTAGAGACTAATTTCGACAAAAAAATAAGACAATTCATTTTATGAATATATAGATTAGGGGTGTGCAATATTGACAAAGAGCATCACAATATTTTCTATGATTTTAGACTGTTTAATGTAGCTCAGAGGTGGCATGAATACATAAATAATTCCAAATTAATATTTTTTTTCAATGAATATTTGGATATTAAATTTATTTTTTAAATGAACTTTAAATATGAAACTAAAACCATCAGTACCATCAGTAGTTGGTGTCTATTTACTGTCCTAATGAGTCACTCTTTAGCCCACGGATTTTAATCCCATCAAAAACTGGCAATTCCAGATCAAAATACAGTTAAATAAAAGTGTTTTCCCAAATCCTGATTTCTTGTTTTTTGCATATTTGTCATGCTTATGTAAATCTAACATAAAACACAGGTAAGTTGGGTAAACACAAAATATTTATTTAATTATTTATTAAACAAAACAGTTATCTATTACCAACTGGGCCTGTGTAAAAATGTATTTGCCCCTGTAGTTACTAATTCCCAAATCTATGAAAGTGCACTGCATTCATAATGGGGTTCAGCTGAACTAGATGCAACCAAGCCTGGTTACTGCCAGCCCTGTTCAATTAAATCAACACTTAACTAGAACTTTTCAACAGCAAGAATTTGGTTAAAAGGTCATACCCAGTAACACAATATGCGAAAGCTGAAAGAAACTCCAGAAATAATGACAAAGAAGGAAATTGAAATACATCAGTCTGGGAAGGATTACAAAGGTTCTTGGACTCTAAAGAACTACAGTGAGAGCCATTATTTCCATTATCACCAAAATTTCTCCAAGAGCACAGTGCAATTCGGGAAGTCACAGAAGACCCAAGGGGAACTGCAGGCCTCTCTTGCATCACTAATGATCACTGTTCATGACTCCACTATTTGAAATATACTGACCAAAAATGGCATTCATGGAGGTAGTTGCGAGGTGAAAACCACTGCTAACCTTACTAGAAAATCCTAAAGGAGAGTGTCCGGTCTTCAGTCTATAATAAATAATAAAGTTTTGGAGAGGCCTAGTCAGAGTCCTTACTTGAACCCTATTAAGATGCTGTGGCAGGACCTTAAATGGCCAATTCATGCACAAAAATCCAATGTGGCTGAACTAAAGCAATTTGGCAAAGAAGAGGCCAAAATTTGACCACAGTGCTGTGAATAACTGATCTCCAGCATTATTTGGCTGCAGTTATTGCTGATAAAAGTTGCACAACCAGGTTTTAAGTTTAAAGGGGCCATTCATTTTTCACATGGGTGATAGGTGTTGGATAACTTTTTTTTTTTCTTCAGCGTGAGATACATGTTTAAATTTCTCTGCTTATTTACATGCATTTATTATAAGCTTCCAGTTCTATAAACTCTAATTAATATTAATACATAAATAAAAAAATAAAAAAAAAAATATTTTTAGTCCCAAACAAGGGTGAGTTTCCCAAAAGGTGGCATCGTTGGCTAACTATGGTCGTTAGTTCCATTGAACTCAATTGGTGACGACGGACTATCAGGGTGCTTTTTTTAAATAAAAAAAAATTATTTTGTAAATTGAGTGACAGAATCCATCCAATGTCAGCATATTCATCATTAAAACAAGTACAATATAATTGTAGGTGGTACATATCACACACCTTGTCATAGATGTTTCCTTCTCAAAATCAGTGTAGCATTTTGTAATAAGATGCACATATTGTGAGTTTTTTTTTTCTTCCCCAAAAGTAATGTATAGTCTTTCTGTAAGTGAGACCACATTTTTTTAATCTGAAATGAATGTGCCAAGAGAACAAAATCATATGAGCTCAAATAACAAAACTGTCATAAAATCGTATGCAAATATCATTCATCACTGCATTTCAAACCAGCAAGGCCATACTGTAGCTGTTCTGTAATTCCTTCTTAAAGATTCTGCAAAGATTGAAAGCATTGCACAGATATTAAAAACTCAAGTGCATAATTTACAAAACAAATTAAACTTTGACAATTTGTAGACTAATGTATGATTTGAACTAGCTGTGGCTAAAAATAGAGCTTTAATTGAGTTACATCTGTTACTCCGTAACAGAGAAATGGAAAATATATTACAGTTTAAAGACCTTCTAAGTATGTGAAGATCTGTTATATTGCATTATAGAAATATCAGTGTGTTCCAAATGAGGTTTCACCTGGTTTAGTCAATGAATCTTGTAAATTGTAATTTGAGCTCTGTGATTGGTGGTGTTATTTTCTCCGCTCGTCATCTCATTAATGGAGTCAACGCAGTGGTGCAGTCTTGATGAGATTTTGTTGCTCCCTGAATGCACTATACATCCAATTGAGCAAGCACACCAAGCATTTAAAGTTAATTCCTCTTGACGGATGCCTTTCTAAAGTAACTCTATAGCACAGTTTTTCAGGAGTGCCTCAGGGATGATAAACTTCAAACTCTCTTTCTGCCTCAATGCACAAGAACTTTTGCTGAATTGTTCCCAATAGCGTTTTTTTTAACCGTCTCAAAACTTCAAAGAAGCGATCTTGATGAGTGGTCATTTAGTACTAGAGGTAAAGAAACTCCATCTGCGACTGACTCTGCTGGTGTGACATTTGAAGCCAGACAATTGTACAATTTTAGATGTATCAGTGTCAGTCAGTTCAGTCTACATACAATCCATAAGAGCCTTTGAACTGAAACCAAGGGCCTGGTCTTCACCGATACAAATTAAGTGAATATTAAGCTGTCTCAAGCACTCAGATCTGAAATTACTCTTGCTTGTCATATAAAACTCTTTGATTGATGGAAAATTATCTATGTATAGCCTGTGCGCATGTAGTCTGACACTGTGGTGCCTACTACGTATTTCCAGCTCATTATTTTGTGCCAAATGATTCTGTGGACGTTATAGCAAACATATCTACGGTGGCCGAGAGAGCTCAACGCACTGCAATGGGGAAAAAATTCAATTAAATTCTCGCAAATAGAATAATACACCAGCAAATTAAGAAAACATCTTTATCAGTTTGACAGCAATGCTGCAACGCAACTCACAACGCAACCAAATTCAGAAACGTGTTGCAAATAGCACAGACCACAATGGAAATGTTTCAAGGGGACCTGATCAAGTGATGAACCTGACTGGGCCTGGGACATGCTTATTGTTCAATGTGTACTCGTGGTGTTGTCGATGACCTGAAATTGTTAATTTTAGAATCCTGATTGTATGATTCCTTATCCTTTTGTTTATTATTTGTCTAAATAATCTGACAAAATATGCAATTAACTGTGACATGTTATGTAATCTGGGTATCTTATTCAATTCAGTTCAATTCAATTCAAGTTTATTTGTATAGCACTTTTTACGATACAAATCGTTGCAAAGCAACTTTACAGCAAATTAGGTTCCTACAATATTTAGTGGTAGCTTATCAGTGGTGACTGTCAGTTAATGTACATATGGCAGAAATGTACAGAAAAATCAATTAAAGACATAATCAAACAGACGATGAACACTATTAACAGCAATTATTATATGATGCAATCAAACTTATAGCAAAATGTGGTAGTTCTGTATGTTGTTTCAGGGTTTGCATCATCTGAGGTCCTCTGAGGGGTTGGCATCATCTCTTCTCAAGTGTTCTGGATCCAGACTGAAGCTTGTGTAAATCCTAGTTACCACGGGATGTCAATCTCGTGGCAAAAACAGAGAAACAAATAGAGACATAATTAGCGTAGCTGCTGTTCCAACCAAGCAAAATTTATTTGTTTAACCCAAACTAAAGAATAATAATGTGCATTTGATCAGATATAACTGCAGTACAAGATTATGAGATGCATTATTTGAATGCTTGGCAAAAGAGATGTGTCTTTAATCTAGATTTAAACAGAGAGAGTGTGTCTGAGCCCCGAACGTTATCAGGAAGGGTATTCCAGAGTTTGGGAACCAAATGCGAAAAAGCTCTACCTCCTTTAGTGGACTTTGCTATCCTAGGTACTACAAAAAAGTCCAGAGTTTTGCGACCTTAGGGAGCGTGATGGATTGTAGCATGGTAGAAGACTAGTTAGGTAC